GGAGTGATTTCTCGCTTTCTGTCTCTCTGTCTCTCTCTGTCTCTCTTTCTGACAAGCACATGCACCCTATAGCAAAAATCTCTCCAAAAATAAAAACAGAAGCATTCTTGTTTGTCCGCCCCAGACTCCAGCCCCTCCTGTACTGTCTCTAGGACCCCTGTCACTCTCCCAGCTCCTACCTGTCCCAGTCACCCCGTTCCTGCCGTGGAGTGCAGACGTTCGGTGTTTACTGAGCCTCCCGGCGTTTTGTGTTGCAATTTGGTGCCCAAAGAAAGCAGGTCTTATCCCAGAGCAGCGAGGATGTGAGTGGCCTTGCCAGGCACGCCCCGCCCAGAGGACCCTGGCCCGCATGTCCTCACATAGTTTTTCTTGTGAAACCTCAAGGAATTCGGGAAATCCTCGTATCCCTTCCTACTTCTCAGTTGTCACCTAACGTGTTTCCTTACTGAATTAAAGAGCTCCAGAGGATACATTTCCAGCATAGATAAAATATTTTTATTCTGAAATGAAATTACTGCATAATCCTGCAGTCTCTACCTATCACAGCAACTGACACCGACGTCTTCATTAGACGTGGTTTGAACAAATTCTTCTTTAGCGGCCACAACTTGCTCATCCTTGCTTTCACGCCTCGAGCTCACGTGGCTTTCCACTCGTCCAGCCCGCTCAAGTCCGTCGTGTGGCCTCGAGCGTCTACGGGTCCCGTGTTTTTTCGGTGTCCATGACCATGGGTTATAATTACCACTCGCTCTCCTCTGATTGGATACTATAATGATCGCCCATCCCGTCAGAACGACCAGAATAGAATTCAGCTCTGACCCTCATTAGGCAGAAAGCGTCACGGCTCCTCGGGCCCTGCTCTTAGTGACATGGGCCTGGCTCTTCATTCTCACCTGCAGAACGACCAGAATAGAATTCAGCTCTGACCCTCATTAGGCAGAAAGCGTCACGGCTCCTCGGGCCCTGCTCTTCACTCTCACCTGGCCCACAGAGGTAGGGACCAGGTCACAGCCATCCAGGCAGGGCACGGGGGATGCTGAGACCCAGGCGACACTTTGTGCCGTGCACGTGGGAATGACAGGCCCATCGCCAGTGCTTTCCCATCGTCTGGCTCCAGCGGTGAGTCCGCCAAGCCCCTGAACCAACAGGGCCGTTAGAAAGCGTGCCTGGAACAGCCTCAGCCCTCACCTCACTGTGCCCAGGGGACCCCGTGAGGCGAGCAGCCCTCGTGAGTGGGGAATGGTCTGCCATCTCACTGTGTCCAGAGCTGATAATAGCTAGTTCCCCAAATATGGGAGGGGCTCATGTTTAATTAAGGAGTGGCCGTCTGTAAGCTCAGGCTGGAGCTCCCCACTGCCCGAAAGTCAAAAGAGGGGTCCTCTGGGGAACAGGCCAATCTTTCCTGATGTCTCTGCGGGGGCCCTGCCCTCATTGAATGCAATTACAGTAACAAATACGACGGCGTAGCTCCAGGTCCCGTGCGACCAGCAGTGCTCTGCTGATAAAGCCAGCTGTGTGGGAAATCGTTCAATGAGAAATCTAATGTGTAACTAAATTTGATAGTCTGCTCTAGTGCTTTCCTGGGGAGGGTGCGATCTCAGTAGAGAGGGGCAGTATTCATGGGCAGCCTGCGTCGCCGGCGAGCAGCCCGAACTCCGAGGTCCAGCAGCCAGCCGAAGCTGACCCCAAGCTGGAGCACGGCCAGGGGAGTCTGTCCCGTTAGCTCCGGGCAGGTGCGTGTCCGGGGCAGCAGGACAACACCGCACCTCTGCGTTGGCATTTCTCCTCACGGGCAGCATCTGAAACTGTGACTCCCAAACGCCAGCCCAGGGGCGTGCCTGTGGAGGTCAGGCACGTGGGGAGAACCGTGGAGGGTCTGTCCCAGCTCCCCTTCAGCTTCACATGAGCCGTCCAGATGGGGCCGTGCCCCAAGCCCCCAGCTGTGGCCTCGCAGCCTCGGCGCAGAGGCTAGCTGACAGCAGTGGGCCCTCTGCTCTCTGCCTTCAGTGAGGACATCCTGCCCACTGCAGCCAGTCCCACTGACCCTGCTGAGCCTGTTTCTGTGGTTCGACTCACATTCACACTCCCAGGTCCCTCCACTACCATGCCCAGCGGGTAGAGAGGACAAGATTGCAGGTCCTCCGGGGGTTAGGCTGACCTGTGGGCTGATGGCCCACCTCGCCCTAGGCTCCTGGCGCAAGCTGGAGTTTGGGGGTGTCGACGACTAGCCTCGCAGCCCAGGGGACTAAGTCAGCTCATAGGCAGTGTCAGTCTTTGAAGCACCGGAAACGTTCCAACCAGCCTAACGAAAGTCTCTAAGTTCCATTAGGCCTGCCCTTTGGCAGGAAGCAGCCGGTGGTAACCGGGCCTCAGTTTTCATCTCCTGCCACTCAAGAGGCCCAAAGCAGAGACGGCCAAGGGCACTGGATGTCCTGCCCAAGAGGGCCTCTCAGACCTGCTTAGCTTCTTGGAGGCCTTCCTGGGGCCATGGCAAAGGGGCCACGTGGGGATAGGGGCAGAGCTGGATCAAAACCGAGGCACAGCTGCTGTCTAAATGCCGACGTCCTAATGCCTCATCCACCCGATCACTGGGCCGGTGCACTTTGTCCTTGGTTGGGGAGGAACATGCAGCCAGCAAAGAGCCAGACCCACACCTGCTGCGGGATGTGCCTGGAGAGGCTGGCGGGGACCTCAGGCGAGGTGGCCAGGGCCTCCGGTGAGGAGGTGACGACTTGAAGGGGCAGCCATGGAGAGCGGCAGGTGTGCAGGCCCCGAGGGGGCCAGAGCTCGGGGAGTGCTGTTCTGACCACTGCCCCACAGTGCCCACCTCCCCTTCCGCCCACACATGCAGCCCGCGCCTCTCCGCCGAGGGTGTGCCCGCCGGGGAGGGAGGGGCTGTGCGTGTGGACTTGCAGCAATGGCGGGGGGTGGTGCGGGCAGTGGGGTGCATGCCACAGAGTGCTTTGTCCCAACACGGATGTGACCGCAGGCAGGGGGTGCCCTCTGAGGCAAGTCCCCGCATCTCAGAATCGAGGCTGGCCTTCAGAAGGGACCCAGACTGGCCCTGACACACGGCCCGGCCAGGTCAGCTGAACCTTCCTGCTTCCACACACCCTATTTGTGTGCGGCGTGACGTCCAGGATCTTCAGAACGGTGGCCTGGCGTCCAGGTTTTTCAAAGTCCACCCATTCGGAAACTAGTTTCACCGTCCCCCACCTCTACCCGCCCCCGCTTCATATCTGAGATACCTACATACGTCCTCAGTCACACGTGCCATGTTCTGTGTTTGCTGGTCACTGAGCCGTGGTCCTCCATGGAGGGGTTGCCAGTTCTGCCCACCCGCATCACTGGGGTCCTTGGGCGACTTTGGCAGTTGGGCATGGTTTCATGGATAGAGCCCCCCACTGCCCGCAGGGCTCCCCCTCGCAGCCTTCTCACAGTCCTGCCGGCCCTCCAGTTGCCATTGACAAACTGATGCCTGGAGACAAACTTTTTTTATTTTTTTAATTTTAAGAGAGTTTTACTATAGGGCACATGCACTCACTGGAGACGCAGAGAGACAGAGAGTGAGACATCACCTCAGGGAGATGGCCACAATCCCTTCTCCATTCTCCACTCTGGTTTTGGGGCACGCACGCACATACTGCTGGCTTGAGTTTCGAGCTGCTGGGTCCAGGACTCGAACCACGTTTGGCCACATGGGAGTCTAGTGGCTTAACCACTGTGCCTCCTGCTGGCCCCTGAATAGCTTTTTAAAGGGAGTTATGGGAGGATGGTTCAACACTCGTCTAATTTTGTTGATACTTGTTTACTCTAAGACAGTCACAAATTACGGCTATTTTAAAGCAACCTGACAAGCCGTAAACTGGGACATTAACTTCCCCATCTTTGTTTTTTTAGGGCACGTGCGCTTACCAAGGAGAGAAAGGGAGACAGAGACAGTGAGAGGGAAAGTGAGAGATCACCCCCCGGGGGATGGCCATGCCACAGTCCCATCTCCGTTCTCCTCTCAGGCCCCTGGGCATGCGCGCACACGTGCCCAGTGTGAGTCTCAAGCCAGGAGGTCCAGGATTTGAATCGCGGTCAGCCATGTGGGAGTCCAGCAACATAACCACTGTCCCCATCCTAATGACCCCACATGGAGGCTGAAAGTGAACAAGGAGAAAGGAAGGTGGGCTTTCTTGTCCACCCCAGAGGGTGCCAGGAGGTGGGGTGGCCACCTCAGTAGGTTCACGGCTGGCGAGGGCTTCCTAGCAGCTGGGGAACTCAGTGCCAAGGACGCGTGTTTACTGTTACAACTGGGGCAGAGGTCAGTGCGTCTCAGCCAAGGCTCAGAAGGAGGCCCACCCTCCACGTGGAGGGAGAAGGGCCAGTCCCCCTGCGCCGTAAGGAGCTGCCCAGGTATGGCCACACAGTGGGTCTGTGAAGAGCAGAGAAGAGTCCATTTTCCTGTGGGAAAGTTGAATAGAGAGACCACCCCGGCTTCTCCTCTCTCCTGGTCACTCTGTAAGGAAACCTCAGGGAGTCTGTGGGGCAATGAAATTACGGTATGTGTTTATTTTGGTGCAACAAAATGAAATCCATGCATCATCTCCTCGTAATGCACCTTTCTCATGAACTTTCTGAATGACCTTTATCTTGGAAAACTGTTTATTCGAACGGGTATGATGTTGGTTTTCCTGAAAATGGCCATCTTGGGATGGGACACGCCAGACCCACACGTGTGAGTGAGAAACGCCAGAGCAGCACGTCTGTGGCGGGGCCTCCTAGAGCGGAAGGAGCCGGGTCTGCCCAGGCCCCTGCTCTGAGCTGCGGCTCCTCCCGTGTCCCTGGAGCTGCAGCGGCTCGTTCACATCCGTCTTGGTCTGTAAAACCGGGACCGCCTGGCACCTGCAGGGCCACGTGGGGATCGTGGCGTGACGCAGCGAAACCAGTGGCTCGCATCGGCGTCCGGCAGGTAACCCCCGGGTCTCAGCGTGGCCTGTTCTGCTCTCTTTCAGAAATGTTTGACCTGGAAACGAACGAGCACGTGCAGACGGCCATAAACGAACGGCAGATGCCCAAAACAGAGTACAGGAGAATCGAGGTTGACGACTACAGTAAGCGCTGCCTTTCCCTCTTAGGGTGACCCGGAATGTCTGCCCAGAAACAGCCGCAGCGTTGGGCGCTAAGCCCGGCGGCTCCTTTGGGGTGGCTCGTCCTGCACTGAGCTGGTTGTGCTCGGAACCAGGACACTGCGGTGACAAACAAGAGCAGGAGGAAGGCAGAGGCCAAAGGTGTGAGTCTGATCTCGGCACCACCCAGGAGCGCGTCCCTCGAAATCCCACCCCGGGTCACCCTGTCTCCCTCCTGCCCCTCACCTCGCCTCGGGTACAGGGGTGTCTGGCCGTGGTAGCTGCCGCCCTGTGAGAAGAGTGTTGTTGCACCTAGACAGTTCCTCACTCTGCCTTTCTGTCTGGCTTCCATTCAGATCTTTCTGAGGCTAACTGTGCTGGGCACCAGGGACTGAGCACCCCAGAACAGGCGGGCGTGGGCGCACACCTCCAGGAGGAGCCGTGTACGCGGGGCTGCGGCTCACCTCTGTGCGGGTGGCTTCACATCAGCCGGCCCTGGGAGCCTTAGATTGGAAGGCAGTGCCTGTGCAGAGCAGTCCTAGGCTGTCCCCCTTTCCCTTGCAGTGGGACAGGACAGGGGCTTGTCCCTGGGGCGGTGGGCACCAGGGGATTAGCAGGTCCTGCCCTGTGCTTGGTAGCCTGGAGAAGAGCAGCCCCTAAGTGACCATGAGCTTGGAGCAGGATGTGAGCCCCCTCCGTGCCCCAGAGCTAGCCAGACACCCCAACGATGATGCTGGAAAGTGCTTGCTGAGGCAGAACGCCTCACAGCAGCCCGGTCAGGGGAGAGTAGCCCTGGCCGTGAGGAAGGTCCTGGGGAGGGGCCCAGGGAGCCTTGGACAGTCCTCGGAGTCAGCCTCGGCTGGGCCCAGAAGAGACCAGTGCAGTGCTGGACGGAGCAGCAGGGCCGGAGCTCGCCCTCGTGGGGAGCCGGTCCGGAGGCTGCCCTGGAGTTGCAGCCTCAGCCCGTCCTCGGTCACTCGCCAAACATCCCTCACACTGCAGTGTCACCCCGCAGGAACCACTGAACAGTTGTACACGTTTGCACTTGTCCCCATTGTCCTGTAGGGATTCATGGTCACCCTTGAGTAGAAAAGTCTGGAAACATGACAGGTCAGATCCCTCCCTCCATCCAAGTCCAGAGACTTTCTCTTTTGAAATATCCCAAGTGTTGGAACTAGCATATGCGTCGCTGGACTTCTATGTAGTCGACCATGGTTCGAGTCCCGGACCCAGTGGCTTGAAACTCACACTCTGCACGTGTGCGTATGTATGTGTGTGTGTGTGTGCATGCCCAAAATCCCAAAAGAAGACTGGAGGAGGAAGGATTGCAGCGTGGCCATCTTCCGGGGGGATGATCTCTCACTTTCTGTCTCTCTGTCTCTCCAGTGAGTGTTCACGCCCTATAGCAAAAATCTCTCTTTAAAAGAATTAAATAAATACCCCAAATGTGACTGCTCAGAGGAAGGGGGGATGAAGGAAATAAAAGGGGAGGGACCAAGAGGCAGAGAAGAATCGAACCGGCGAAAACCACATGCAGAGGCTCTGACTACTGAAAGCAGCTCTGCCCTGTGGGGGGAGGCACTCCTCTGCCCCCGGGGCCCCACAGTGTTCCTGAGCCCGAGAGGCTATGCCTGGCTGGGACTCCTCAAACCAGTCTCCTCCACTCCAAGCCCTCACCCACCGCTGTCACCCAGATGCCTCCCAAACACCGAAACTCTGATGCATGAATGCCAACCGCCCTCTGGAAGACAGGGAAGACTCTGAGAAGCAAATGGCAGCTTCCCCAACCTGGCCGCAGCTTCTTCCAGCGCAGCCCTTCCTCGAAAGGCGAACGGGCACCAGGGCCGGAAGGGAGCCCTGCCGTGCACTGGCTGGCCTGAAAGCTGCCTGGAGATCGCAGCGAACCCAGGGGCTCTGGCCTGCCGCCCGCTTTTCTTCTGTTTCCTCTCCTTTCACTCCACCAGAGGCCAAGACTTGCCCCGGGAAAGGAAGACGCATCCAGGAACCCCCACACTGTGTCCAGGCAGCCAGAGCCCAGTGTCCAAGGCCTGCCCTTGGGTGTCTGAGTGGCTGCGAGCAGCCCAGACATGGTTTTTCAACTCTTTTTTTTTTTTTTTTTAAGAGAGATACTTGCTATAGTGCGCATGCACTTGCTGGAGAGACAGAAACAAAATATGAGAAATCCCCCTGAGGGGTTGGCCATGCCACAACCCCTTCTCCTCTGTTCTCCTCTCGGGATCTTGAGCATGCACGCACATGCGCCCGGTGTGAGTTTTTAATCCACTGTGTCCAGGATTCGAACTGTGGTCAACCGTGTGAGAGTCCAGCAACATAAGCGTTACACCATCTGCTGATACCAGATATGTCTTACGGAGAGCGAAATGGCAGAGAGGGGTTGGCCATGCCACAACCCCTTCTCCTCTGTTCTCCTCTCGGGATCTTGAGCATGCACGCACATGCGCCCGGTGTGAGTTTTTAATCCACTGTGTCCAGGATTCGAACTGTGGTCAACCGTGTGAGAGTCCAGCAACATAAGCGTTACACCATCTGCTGATACCAGATATGTCTTACGGAGAGCGAAATGGCAGAGTCCGGGCTGCCTTCCTGCCAGTCCCTGGGTCACAGATGCGATTTGCAAGCCACTTGCATTCAGGCCGTCTTGGGACAGCCTGTGTGGCCCAGCAGCATGGCCGCTGACGCAGTTAACGAGTACTGGCCTGGGCGGGCAGAGGTGGCCGAGAGCTGGCCAGGCCATTGCCCGGCATGTGGCTCTCACTGGCCTCCCTCAGCCACTGATGTCACACTGCCGAAGACCAGGTCCAGCAGCCCTGGGGGCTTCAGGGACAGCAGGCAGCCCTGGCTCCTGCCCAGGCCCCAGGTTATGGTTCCAACAGCGTCGGAGCCGCACGGCAGGAGCTGCACACGGGAGGCCCCACTCGCCTTGGTCTGGTCCTCGCCTGTCCTCACTGCCACACCCCACTCACGGTGCACCCACCCCGTAGCCAGCGGCAGGGCAGAGGGCACCGACGCCTCACCCCCACCGCAGTCATCTGCAGCCCTCGAGCTCATGCTCCTGGCCTGGGCTGTGTGCCAGTCAGTGCTGATGGCAGCCGGTCTTCTCCGACACTTCTGCACGCAGGGGGAGCGTACGCTTCCACTGGGGAAATGGAGCCTCACAGTCCGGTGACCCTCCCAAGGCCACGTGGAGGTCAGGTGACTTACCTAAGTGACACTCTGGACCAGCCCCTGTCTGTGGCCTTCTGGACCACACCTCCCCCAGAGTGCCCTTCACCTCCAGGGTCACCAAGGAGCTCATCCTGCCCCGCGTGTCCCTCCCCAGCCCCACTCCCCACACACACAGACACACACACCCTGCCCGTGCCTGCTGACCTGCTGCCATGCACTGTTTCTCTCCAGGCCTGCCAGTGCAGATCCTGAAGCCCGCGACCTTCACCGACACAGCCCACTACCCCCTGCTGCTGGTGGTGTAAGTCCTACCCTCGCCCTGGGTGGGGTGTGGGTGCTGGCACTTGGCGACACTGGGACACTGTGGGCTCGCCAAGAAAGACAGCCAGTGGGAGTCCTGTCCGCAGACTAAACCTCGGCTCCTGAGCCCGTCAGCAAACGCCAGGTTCTTCATCCTGGAGCCCCAGAGGATAAAGGAGACAGGGCTCCCTGCCCCATCTACCGGGGGCAGCCGGCCGCGATGAAAGCAGGTCTCAGGTCAGGCTCTGTGGGTGGTCGGGGGTTCAGAAAGTCACAGCTCAGCACATGACCCCAAGCTGGCAGGGGCGGGTCCCAAGGGATGGAGACAAGGCACAGCCTGAACTCGGACCCCGCATGCCACATAGCTGTCTCAGACTGCTGAGCCCCAGGCGAGCGCCTGTCCCAAACGCCAGTGGTGTGCCAGCACGGGTGTGTCAGCTGCTCCTGGGGGGATGAGCCATCCTCTGGGCCGGAATTGGAGGACAGCCTGCTCTGTGCCTGTACACACCTAGGAAGGTGTGGCGTCTGATTTGGTGTTTGCCTGTCAGGAGCCTGCCCTGGGTGTGGGCTCCAGAAGGCCATTAGTGCCAGCTGACCACCCCGCATTCAGGGAGTGGAGCCTGGACTCACAAAGCACACGGGACACTTTCAAAGGACCGCACCGGCCGGGTTGTCTAATCTCCTGTCCTCACCGCCTGGCAAGGGGCGCTGCCGAGCTTCCTGCTGCCCCAGGGTTGTTTGGGGCAACTGTGCCAAACCTAAGTGAGCATCTGCCAACCTCCTGGAGCCTGACTGAGCCTGGGCAGGCGCTCCCCCTCTGGGGGCTGTGTCACCACGGGTCCCGGTGTAGATTCCAACCTCTGACTCCTGCAGTTAACCCACTGTCCTTGCGATCTGGATCATTCAGCACATTGCCCACAGCTCCCCATACACACGTGCACTCATGCACTCATGTGCACACGCACATCCACACACACCCCAGACACATGTACATACACATGTACATACAGCACATACGCATGACACATATATCCCATGCATCCAGGCACACACGCTCCATGCATCCAGGCACACACGCTACATGCATGAACAAATATATGCACGTGCATACATATGTGCACACCACATACACATACCCCTCCCAGACACACATATATACACGTCCATAGATCCCAAACGCATGGCATATACATGCACAGACGTGCACACCCACATGCTACCTCACTAACACACATGCACACACACACACACACATGGCCTCCCTTCCCTCCTGCTAAACCAGCTCTTGAGCACTTTCTCAAGGACGATTCTCAAAAGATTTCAAAAGCAGCCTTCTTCCCCGACTCTGGTTTCTTCAGTAGCCCTTGGTGAAATCCCAGCCAGCCTCGGTCTGCACCACGAGTCCCGCTCCTCTCCCAGTGGACGCGGCGGCCGTGTGGACAGCCCACAGCAGCATGGGCTCAGGCAGGGCCCACGAGGCTGACCCGAGCAGCCTGGGAGGCAGTGTCTTGTGCTCAATTCTCTCCTGCCCCGACTTCAAACCTGATGGCATGGAGATCCAGGGGCCCCAGGACACCACGGGCACCGTGCTGGTGGCACAGACACACAGCCCGTCCCCCGCAGAGCCCAGCGTGCCCAGCCACTCAGCCCTGGGCGCAGTGCTCTGGGCCCGCTCACACCCTCCTCCCCCTAGCACTCCCCCGAGGGAAGGAAGCGAGACAGCCATGGTGGTCAGGGGTGTCGGGGACCTTGCGCCTGCTGTGGTCCCTGGAGGAGGCTGACTTGAGCTCACTCCCTGTCCTGCCAAGCTTCCCGCCAAAGGGACTGATGTAGAAGCCTCCCCACACCCACAGGTGCCCGGCAAGGGACTGACAGCCAGCCCCACGCTGAAAGCAGCCCTGACCGGGTCCATGGGTACTCCCCTGGGCAAGCTTTAAGCTCACAGCATGGTGCCACGGGAAGGGCGCTAGAGTGTGCACAGCAGGCCTGGCCCGGCCCGTGCATGAGCGTCCTGGCCCCAGAGTGACAGCGGCCTCGCTCCCTGAGCAGATGCGCAGGGGGAAGGCCGGCCCTCACGCTGAGGAGGGAAGGGATTTCTGCACACCACGGGTGCCACTGGGCAAGGGAGTCAACACATTGTTGTCACACACATGCCAGGTCCTGGGGGAGCGGCCTGAGACAGCCAGACCCAGGAAAGGCAGAGTCCGGCAGCCAGGAAGGCATGTCACGTGAATGCCCTCCGAAGGCTGAGTGGGCAAGGCCCGTGCGCTCCAGACGGCCCTGCTGCCTCGGCTCTTTGGGGTGCCTTTTCCTCGTGGCGTTATGGGTGCGTAGGCAGTGTCCTGGTCCCTGCCCCGGCAGCAGGCCTAGGTCAGAGTGGTGGCGCGGGGCTGGCTCACAGTCCCCTGGGAGGGCAGCAGGCATGGTGCAGGCTGGGGAGCCGCCGTCCGCCAGTGGGAAGTGGGTCTCAGACTCTCCTCTCTGTTCCAGGGACGGGACCCCAGGCAGCCAGAGTGTGTCCGAGAAGTTCGAGGTGACCTGGGAGACGGTGCTAGTGAGCAGCCACGGTGCGGTGGTGGTCAAGTGTGATGGCCGAGGCAGCGGCTTCCAGGGGACCAAGCTGCTGCACGAAGTCAGGCGGCGGCTGGGCATCCTGGAGGAGGAGGACCAGATGGAGGCCGTGCGGTGAGCGCCCCGGGCGGGGCCAGGAGCAAGAGGCCAGGACCAGCTGCCCAGCAGGGGCTGTGCCGCGGCCACAGATGAGTGCTTTGGCCGGAGCACACGGTGTGCGTGCGGTGCGCACATGCAGGTTGAGCATCCGTTATCCAAAGTGCTGCAGGTGTTTTTGGATTTCGGAATGTTTGCATATACCTGGTGAGACATCCTGGGGTGGACTCAAGTCCGAACATGAAATTCATTTACGTGTACCCTCCCTTACACACAGGCTGGCAGAGGTTGTGTGCGGCGTCCTGTAGTGCAGGATTTGGCCGTGGCCCTGATGAGAGGTCAGGAGTGGGATGTCCCTGGTGGCATCAGGTCGGTGCTCAAACAGGTTCAGATGTGAGAGCATCCTGATGTTCAGGCAGTGATGCCCGACCTGGGGGCAGTTCTAGGGGCACGCCAGGGGCCTACCAGTAATCTCCCAAAGGCTGTGAGCGCCTTTCTGCCGCTGAGCCGGTGGTTAAGCTGATGGAAACGCGGCTCAGAGTCAGAGGCTGCGAGATGGGCCCACGAGCTCCTCGGTGCCGTGGGGTCCACGTGTCACAGGGAGGCGGGACGAGGTGGAGAAGGAAAGGCAGGAGAAGAGGCTGTGCGTGGGGACACATCTGAGCCGCAGGCCACCTCGGCTGAGGGGAGCACCCCTGTGCGTACCTGGGCTGGGTCAGCGGGCCCTCCTTCCCTCTGAGGAGCGGCACGTTTCGTTTTCATCATCGAGATGGGAGACCGCCGAGTATTACAGACAGCAGGAAGAGGCTTCGCGCCAAGAGGCAGACGCTCGAAATTATTTATTGACTTTTATTGCGATGCCAGAGACACGAGGGTACATCAAGAGCTTACACTAGGCTACAGCTGGCCTTCAGGCTCCCTCAGTAGAAACGGTTTTCACGGTCTTAACGGTGCGAGCACGGCAGAGCTGAGCACGCTTGGCAGTGAAGAGGCCATCCCGCACCCCAGCCCGCTCTGCAGACACACCACGTGGACCGGCGAGGGGTGCGGAGAGCCCTGGAGCCGGGGCTCCCCCCATGCCAGCCATTTTCTCCACCAGGAAGAGGGTGCACAATGTGACCAGGGCACACAGAGGGGTACGCACGAGCCCGTCTCAGCACGCGGGGACAGCCAGAGGACTGCCGGAAGCTGGCGTCCTATCCTGTGACCTGCGGGTCAGCTCTGCAGGCTCACAGATTTTGCCTCACTGACTCCTCAGGTCATTTTCTCTTTTTTTAAAAAAGACCGATGCACCCTGTAGGCGGTTCCTCTCCTCCTTCCTGAGGCCCGAGCTAGCTGAGGAGAGACCAGGCGATATCGTCAAACTCCGTGTGTGTCATAGGCTGAAAGCGCAGGGAAGTCCCTGAGGACTCGGGTAGTCAGAAGTGTGCCTGCTGGAATGTTTTTGCCTGGAAGCCAACCACACACACAAACGCGGGTCTGCACAGAGGCTGTGCCCCTCCCAGGGTGGCCACCATGGTGGCCAGGCCTAGCTGGCCACTCATGCCCCCGGATGACTATCTGCTGCACCTGCTCCTGGCCTCCTCATTCACCTCCAGGAGGCTGGAGAAAGAGCCACTTCGAGAAACTTCCAGAAAGGAAGGGAGAGCCTGCCTGGAAACAGCACACCATCTTCTCCTGTTGCCCAGGCTTCACCAGAACCCACAACTCAAACCCACTTCTGGTGAGAGAAGTGCTGGCAGCTCCCCTGGCCTGGGCCAGTCCTCTTGGACCACTGGGCCACCTGTCCCCAGAGCAGAGGAAAGAAGTGGCGAGTGAGTCCCAGGTCTGTCTGCAAGGAGGGAGGCCAGGGGCCGCCGGCACCAGCGGCATACACTGGCATACACTGCAGGTGACTTCTCTCACTCCGACTCCGACTCTGACTTCGCAGCCGGCAGCCGGGTCCCTGCGGGGCTCTGGAGGATGCGGTACTTACCCAGCAAGCTGGCCAGGGCCCTTTGCTTCTCTACCCCTCCTGCTTTGGCCTGCTGTTCTTGGGGGCCTTTTTCCTGCCCTCGGCTACACTTACCTTGCCCTGCCTGGTCTCACTCCTCCCGCCCATTAAGGAACCATGGTGGAGGAAGGTCATGGTGTCCTGCAGACACCCGTAGGCCACTCACCTGCAGGCACTCGGCTCCCTCTAGCCGCTCCTCTCAGGGCACAGGAAGAAGAAGACTGTTCACATTCACATTGTTTTCTAAAAACAAGGAACTAGCCGGGCCACTACTCACAGGGACGTGAGCACGGAACAGCTGCAAAGCTTCCTGCCATCGTAGAAGCACAGACAGGAGGGTCGAAGTGTGTCACATCATGGATAGCCTGGCTGACCTGCAGCCTGATCCATCAGAAGGGAATGCCCAATGGGAACCAGCAGTTAGCGTAATGGCTATGTCGCTGGATTCCCACATAGTCGACCGCGATTCGCGTACCGGACCCGGTGGCTTAAAACTCACGCCGGGCGCGTGTGCGTGCATGCCCAAGATCCCGAGAGGAGAATGGAGGAGAAGGGATTGCTGCGTGACCATCCCCTCTGGGGGGTGATTTCTCGCTTTCTGTCTCTATGTCTCTCTCTGTCTGTCTGGCGAGCGCACACACCCTATAGCGAAAACCTCTCAAAAAAAAAGAAGGGGATGCCCATTTTATCAGAAGTCAGCATCACTGGGCATGCAGGCCACGCCGGTGGTTAGTAGCCCGCCATGCTGGAAGTGAGCCTGGTGTGCTGTGCAGGCCCCAGCCAGGTCTCGGACTCTATTCCAGCGTGTGGAACCTCTCGTTCACATCCCCTTGGCCCTGCAGCTCTGTCCACAGGCAGCCTTGGCCTTTTCTACTCCATTTGAAAATGCTGTCTCTAGGCTCAACTTGGAATTGTCTTTGTCATTTTTCTTTCTGGATCCTGTGCACACAAAGATGGGCATGCACACACACACCCTGGGTTACGTGAGAAAGAATAAGAGAAACATGCCTTCCTTTTTCTTGTTGCTCCAGATAGCTAGAAAATGTCTTAAAATGTTCTTATTCTATGCCCACACATGATATTATAGTTTTGCTAGGTATAAAATTCAATTTCTATCTAGAAAGCCAGCAGGTGTCAAGACCCCTCTGCTAATTAGGATTCAGAAACCAGGAAGATTCCAGCTGTTTTGTGGGGGAAACAAGGACAATGGCGGGAGCCAGGATGAGCAGTGCCCAGGCAGCTCCCATGAGAGCTCTAGACTGGTCACTGTCAGCACAACTACAGAGGACACAAGGAAAGTGACTCTCAACCCTTCAGGTACAGAACAGAGACCTCCTCCCAGGAAGTGAGTTCAGAGGGCACTGCCAGTGGGCTGAGCTCTTTGTGTCCCTGTTGACCCCAAAGGCTGACCAGAGAGAGGCAGTAGGAGTCATAGAGTTCCAAGTGAGGGCCACTAGCAACAGGGGACAAGAACCCACGCAGAGACTGACCAACCTGATGGTCTCGGGTATCCTGGGTTCACGTTTCCCAATGGATAAACTCTTAGACCTGGAAGTTCTACAGCGTCTTGCAAAACTGCTTTGAGCTCTTACTGTAAACACGCTGCCTGCATAGTAAATAAGTAAAATGAGGGACGATTACATTAGAATTTCTTTTTACTTAGAGAGGGTTTACCACTTGAAATGTGGAAGACACAACTCCAGGGCCCAGGGACACAGAGTACAGCCACACTGTGCACTCAGCCCCCGCTCTCTTTGCCCCTGCAGGACGATGCTGAGAGAGCAGTACATCGATAGGACCCGCGTGGCTGTGTTCGGGCAGGTGAGTCTGTGCTGCTCGTGTCTGAGCTCCCGCCTGGTCTAGAGCCTGGAGCCACGTCGGCACCAGGCCCAGTCCTGATCTACCGAGAGCCTCTGGTCTGTGTGAGCGATTGCTTCTTAAAAGCGAGAGCCTGGGTGCTTAGTGATTCTGCAGTGGGAGCTTTCATTTGGTCACTCATCCATCAGTGCTGCTTTTTACATTGTCTGGAAGGAAAAAAAAACAAACCCAGGTCCTTGTTGAGGGGCTCTTTAGGCTCCTAATTAATTTCCTTCCATGAACCTGCTGTGGTTTTAATGCGATATCCCCGAGAAGGAAGGGAAGCAGGGATCTGTTCTATTCTGGATGTCTTGATGCGCAGTAAGTACATTAATTACCACATTTACTCAGACGGGAGGAAGGCTGTGGGGAGAGTCATGTTCAAACCTATCAGACCAAGATGCTCTGGCTGGTGGCCCACATCAGCAGGCTGGGGCCTGGCCTGGCCACGGTGTCATGGAGCCTCTGGGGGGAGTTCAGGCGCCTGCTCTCACCCTGGAATGTGGAGCTCCTGGGGGAGTTCAGGTGCCTGCTCTCACCCTGGAATGTGGAGCCCCTGGGGGGAGTTCAGGCACCTGCTCTCACCCTGGAATGTGGAGCCCCTGGGGGAGTTCAGGCACCTGCTCTCACCCTGGTATGGAGTTCAGGCACCTGCTCTGGCCCTAGCATGTGGCCTCTCACTCGCCTGGCACAGCCTGCACCAGAGGCCTCTCGATCCCCAGAAACAAGTGCACATGTGGATTGGTGCAGAGCACCTGTCCTGACCCGCCGCCAGTGGTCGCGGCAGGTGGAGGGTGTACAAGCGGTCACTGTGAACTCAGCCCACATTTGATGGGAGGAGTGTGGTTTGAGAGTGCGACCCCCCCAACAGGGGTGCCTTCTCACTTTCCCTCTCTGTCTCTCCCCGGTGAGCACACGTGTCCTCTAACAAAACTGATCGAATGAATGAATGGAGCTGGCTTCGTGGCGCGGTGGTAATGTGCCCCTCAGGAGAAGCTGGTTCTCACACAGCCACCATGGTTCAAATCCCAGCCCCACCGGCCTGAAGAGCACACCAGCACACATGCTCAAGTGCTCAGGGCCTGGCTGACTAGCTGGAGGAGGAGCTCGCAGCACAAGCAAAGCTCTGTCTGTCTCTCATGCACCCACTCTATAATAAATAAAGTAAAACTTTCAATAATAATAAAGCTACATGAAATGGTTGCCTATCACAGACCTCAGCCTTCCACAGCTGGCCTCATGGCGCCCCGGCACCCACGCCCCTGCCTCCACCTGCACGTTCTTTTCCAGGACTACGGCGGGTACCTGAGCACGTCCATCCTCCCGGCGAAGGGGGAGAATGAAGGTCAGACTTTCACCTGCGGCGCTGCTCTCTCTCCAATCACAGACTTCAGACTCTACGGTGAGTGGCCCCGAGCCGAGGGTCACGCCCACAGCATGGCCCTGGTCCTCTGGGAACCCTGGAGTCACGGGGCTGGTGGGCAAAGCACGGAGAGGAACCTGGGGCAGGACAGGGACGCTCCGGCCTTGGTTCTCAGTGAAGTGGTCGAGCCGCTGATGCCCGTAAGTCGCATCCCAGCTGCGAGACCGCAGTCCGAGGTAGAGCTTGCAGTCTGCTCACAGCAGCGGGGCTAATGCCGGAGGGAAGGGCAGGCTGCGAGCTGCGGGGCAGTCAGGACGACTTGCTGTGGGACCAGGCAGAAAGGGGACCACCAAGCGTGGGGACCAGCCATCTGCCCAGCACAATGTGGCTTCGCTGTCAGTGTTTTGGGACAGGGGCTCCGTGCTCCTCCTCCCGGCCACCCAGTCCCTTCTCTGACATGCACGCCGCATGCACTAACCACTTCTTAGCTGTGCAGAGGGGTCTTTGCTGTGGCCCTGAGAACTCGCACTCACCGTGCAGTGCTGAGGCGGGAGGACCAGAGGTGCCTGTCTCGTTCTCCCAGGGCCACGCCCCATCCCCTGATCTCCCCTTCAGTCCCCTCGCCGCCCCCTCCCACAGTCCCCTGTGCCCCATCTCAGCACCCTTGGACACCACCAAGCAGTCCAGGGACTTGGGGGTGCGGCAGCCCCGACTCTCACAAAGGACCTCCTCATCCTAGCCAAGTGCTCTTTCGAATGAAATTTCCACTTAGAGAACTCTCCTGGCCCAAAGCTTGAATAATTGAGAGTAATTTTCTCATGAGAATATATGTGGCAGATTCAGATGTGACAAACAGTGAGATGTTCCTACTTGTCCTTAGTATTTCTCAGTCGTGCTGCCTCGGAGCTGACTCACACGCACACACACGCAGCCCAGGGTCTCGCACTGCCACACCCAGCCCACAAGGCCTCCTCACCTGTCCCTCTGTTCACCGGGACTGCCCCAGGCCTTGTGCAGAGTACTCTGCCTGCCGCTCCTGACGGGTGTGGCATCGTGCCCTGCTCCCCGCAGACCCCAGTCCTGCTGCAGAAACTGGCCTGGAGCCAGGCTTTGGGACTGAACATGCCGGGCCTAGGCTTGCTAAGAGTAATTCCATCCTTTGGAAACTCGCTTGCTTCCTCCCGCCCTCTTTCCTGTGTGTCTAAACCAAGTGGAGGATGCCCTGTTCATTTAGGACCTGGATGGGTTACACTTCCCTTGCTGAGGCTCTGCCGTACTGGTAAGAACCCAGCCACCAACACGAACACATCTCAGCACCACTGCCCACCTCCATGGCTGCGTAAGCCCCCAGGGACCGACCAGTTTTCTGAAGACACACGTTTGCCAAGCAAGCGGGTGTAGCTGTGCCCCAGACCCTGGCCTATCCCTGGATATCCCTAGAGTCTGGGCCCTGCACTGGCCAGGCCTGAGGCTGAGAATAACACCCCACCCCTGCTGCTTCCAGCATCTGCCTTCTCTGAGCGGTACCTGGGCCTCCACGGACTCGACAACAGAGCCTACGAGGTATGTCCGGTACAGCTGCCATGCCTCACGGGGCTCACGACGGAGGGCACCTCTTTGGCTCCTCTCCCACCTGGCCCGGCCCTGTAGCCCCTCCCCTTCCACGCCAGGCTTCTCCCTTACACCACCACCAGAGCCTGCCCTAGAAGCCTGGACCCACCGGTCCTCCGTGAGAGAGCTGAGGCCAGTGGCCTCCCCGTTGGTCTGATTTCCTCCTTCGGGACTTTGTAGATAAGGGAGAAGGCTGAGGGAGGATGGGGTCAGGAGTCCACCCCAGGGCCCGAGCCCCGAACCCCAGCTGTCCTTGGAGAGCAGACGCTCCTGTGCTTCCTCTGGAGCGGAGGCTTCCCCGGGACCCGTGCCAGCCAGGCCTGGCTTCTCTCCAGCTGGAGCAGGTGGAAACGGGTCCTGCGGCCGTCCTGCCACTGCTGGGCTGGTCCCACAGTGGGGGTCCACACGGGAGACCCGAGCCTGCACGGGAGGCCCAATGGCCCCGAGGCCGCCTGCAGTCAGAGGCTCTCCTTTTACTCCTCCTCCCAGCCCGCCTCCTTCCTGCAAGGAGTTAGCATGAGGGACAGCGGGGCTGCCGAGCCTCCACCTCTCCCTGTGCTGTGATGCGCCCAGTAGTGCCTGCACTTGGTTCCCGGCATGGCTCCCCTCTGTGGGGGCCAGCTCAAGCCCGCTATGCAGCACCCAGCCTGCAGCCCCCACCCCACCATGCCCCCCACAGCCCCTGCCCTGCAGTGCCCGCCGCGCCCTGCTAATGCTCGCCCTTGCCACACTGCAGATGACCAAGGCAGCCCTGCGCGTATCAGCCCTGGAGGAGCAGCAGTTCCTGATCATTCACGCCACTGCAGACGGTAAGGCCGGGGCACGCTCCACCGTGTGGCCAGAAAACCAGCCCCGGACAGCGTGACGGCGTGATGAACACTTCCCTTTTTTTTTTAAACAGAAAAGATCCATTTCCAGCACACGGCAGAACTCATTACCCAGCTCATCAGGGGGAAGGCCAACTACAGCTTACAGGTACACACGCTCTGCCCTGCCCTGCCCTGCCCGCGAGCAAGAGTCACTCTCCACGGAGCGCGGACGGCTTTGGGCTCGGGACACCCCACTTCTGCACACGCACCTGGGCTGTGCCTGCTGTGAGGGGTGGGCGCGTCAGGTCAAACGGGCACAGGCCCATGCTTCTAATTAAGGACTGCTCAGCTCTGCACGCCAGCCAGGTCTAAACCCTCCAGAACAACCAGCACCCCACCCCCACCCACCCCCTCACCTCTGCCAGACAGGAGCAGCCAGGCCAGCGGCCACACCCCCGCAGCATGAGTGGTGACGTCACTGGCGTGGGGCGGTGGTGCTGTTTTCCACCTCGAGGGGGCATTAGCGGGCACTGAATCCTCTCCCAGCCTCCCCTGCCCACCAACACCACTGAGCCCTGGTAGAAGGCCTTGGCAGCACCTGTGGGCGAGAGCTCTGCCCTCCCAAAGACTGGCTCAAGGCCTGTCCTTGCCACCTAGCCCAGGCTCTCCGCAACGTGCAGGGCTGCTGCTAGAAACTTCTTCCACCTCCTTCCTGCCTCTGGTTCCTCTGGCATGACCCAGTGATCTTTCCTGAGGCCCCTGTCTCAGAGAGCACCCACCCTAGCACTGACCGCCATGCAGCCTGAGCAGGCGTGCCTGCCGCTGGCCAGTAGGGAGCGCTGCAGGGAATCGGACCCAACCATCCATTGAGGGGACAGTGTCCGAGTCGCAGCGACCTGGGTCACGGCCACGACGGCAGTTGCATGCACAGGGGGCTGCTCCCCGGGATGTGCACAGAGCTCCGCTGGCCAGGTGCTGGGCAGCCTGGGCAGCCTGGGCCGCGGGCTCCGCCTGCATCAGCGTCTGGGCCCGTGGGGATCCAAACAGCCGCGCAGGAATGTAGCCACGGCCGGCTGCAGGCAAGAGGTGGTGGTGGGACCTCTTGTACACTTGCTCCCCCGATCTTTGAATGCATGGCCACAGCGTCACGACTTCTCGAGAGAGGCTTTAAAGTAAAGGCCACCCCGCAGAGGCCTGAGGGAGCCAGGACTCGAGACGCAGGGGCAGCCCCGGCAAGGACCAGGCTTCTGAACACACTCGCCTTGAGTCCTGTTCACACACGCGCACTGTGTGGAGCGGCGCACGGGGGCTCCCAGGTGGTGTCGCCGTGTGGCAGTGCCAAGATGAGCAGGGTGTTGTGCGCACCAAGGGCCGAACACAGCCACGGCCAGTGCTACTGAGTGCTCCAGGCCCGACCTGAGCTTTCCAGGGGTGGGACTCACAAAACGAGACATGAGCGGGAGCCTGTTAGCAGCTTGTCCCCCTGACAGGACAGGAAGTCACCTGGCACCGAGCAAGTAGCAGAAGCAGGGTGCAGAGCAGGGTGGGCCCCGCAGTCGCAGCTGCAGGACTTAGCACCTCGGCAGCGATTTCTCACACTCAGGGCCACTGCGCTAGCCCAGACCCTGGCCGTTTCCTCCCCGAGCCCCAACAGCTCGAGACGGGGGCCGCAGCCTGCGTAGACCCCAAGCACGTACCCGGGTTGCACATTCAGAAGAGCAGACCCGGACTAGAAAGTGTCTCTGCTTCATTCAGCCGACCTCCCCGGGCGCCCGCTGCACACAGCACAGGCCGGCGCCACGAGGTGGCAGAGGGGTCGGAAAACCAGCTGGCCTTGGGACTGGTGGCTTGTTTCGGCACCAGCTGGCACAGCCAGGCACAGCTTCTGGGCAGAAAAGGTGCCCGCATCCGGGGCCGCACGGGCAAGGAGTCGTGTGTCCGCTAAGATTCCGATCCCGTTGGAGCCTGGGCTCCCTGCCTTCCTCTGCCGGCGGGAGGGTGGGCCGGGTAACCTCTGGGCCTTTCTTGCAGATATACCCGGACGAAAGCCATTACTTCCACAGCGCCGCCCTCACGCAGCACCTGTACCGGTCCCTCATCAACTTCTTCGTGGAGTGCTTCCGGATCCAGGACAAACTGCCCACAGCCGCCACGAAAGAGGACGAGGAGGAGGACTAGCCAGGCGTCCGCGGAAGCACAAAGCTGGCTCTTTCTACAACCGTATGCAACTGAGGCTCCCCGCCCGCCCTCTCCCCGGCGGCCCGACGCGTCTGCGTCCCCTAGCATGTGTGTCTCGGTCCAGAGGCAGATCGGCTCCGGCCCGGCACGAGGGCGCGCGC